GACCTAATCTAGTATTTAGGACCCAAAAACACCCATGTTCCAAGTTTCATCTCTTCCTCCTTGCCGGGCAAGAGGGGCCTAACAGTTGACCAACCATTTCCATGATGCCGGCTCTGTTCGTCGCCCAGTCGCTAGCTTCCGGAAATACACAGCATCCTGGAGCCACGGGAGAGGGAGATGGACATCTTCGGGAGCTGAGCAGGAAAAGCGCCACGAGGGTGATGCAGTATTACGTCGATGGCGAGGGCGAATTACTTCCTGATTGAGCATGCTCTACCATCGTGGTTGGGGCTAATTTGCCCACAAATGCTGAGACACTTTCAGCCCTGGGCAGATGCCTTCAATGTAGTGTTATAGTCCATGCATGGCTCTTTCTTGTGCCAATCCTGATAGACACGGTGTAAGGAAGAAAATGACTGTCCGCCAAGTTTTGGACATGTTGTGCCAAAACACTACACCGAGTAAAAAACAAAACGTGAGGATATGTTTATGCTTTGAATCAGGCTAGGACGATCTATAGGTATATGTTTAAAGGCAACTCCTTCTCGACTGCCCAAGGCACGTGGATGGGGCAGAAATGGCTCTGACCGTCCAGCTTCACCCGGGCGTTGATGTCTGCGCCCGCATCCCTTGGCTGCTGACGTCTGGAACCCTGTGAAACATCTGAATATGATACGGGCAGCCCTGCCATGTTTGATGCGTTGCGTCCAAAGGCACCAGCTTGCAGAATTGGTGCATTTTCAGCTTTCAGATTGCCCGCCCCAACAGATTGGAGCCGAGAGGCATCAGCAGCTTGACATTTTCCAAGCAGCCCTGGACGGCCAAATGGATCGGCTGAGCCCGACCCTCCTTCCTCGGTGGGCGGACCGGGCGCGGAAATACGGCCAACGCCTCCGTTCGGCGGTTCCGAGGTCGAGACCGGAAGGTTCCTGGTTGGAACTCTAATATAGATCTATAGAGGTCGTGTAGAAAAAAAACATCTTGTCCTATATTACCACTTTTGACGTTCTTGTGTTGTTTAGTTGTTTTTCACATGTGTGTTTTTTGCTCTCTCTCTCTCTCTCTCCAGTCGATTTCTAGCAAAAGTTTGATCAGGAGATTTGGTTTGGATCTACTATGAGGGTTAACTGTGCAACAAGTGGCTTCAGATCAAGCAGAAGTGATACCAGTACTTCGTCTGAACGGCGGAACGGAAAAGGCCGTTCATAAAAAGGCCGGCTTTGAGTCAAGAGGCTCGAAGGCATGGTACTTGCACTCCACATTGATGTCGGCATGCCTCGTGTTGACGCACAGATTGATCACAGTGGCCCAATCCAACCGGAGATCGGGACGATCCACCTGAAAGAATCGAAGTAGAAAACCCTTCGGAGTGTATATAATTCCCAAGCCCTCTTTTCAGATCGGCCTTCGACCATCCGCCCCATCCGCCCCTCCGCCGATGCGCAATGGAGCACGCGCCGGAGGTCAAGGGACATCTGCAAGAGTCGCTCCAGGAGGTCGCTCTTGGAGTTCAACGCTGCAATGTGGATGGCGCTCCCCAAGCACTTCCGCTTCCTGGGCTTTCGCTTGGGGCGGTCAACTGGGGGATGTTGGGGGAAAGGAAAAGGGTTTAGCTGAGTCGTACAGGTTGCTGGGTCATGAGATGAAAGCTCGAACGTCATCATCTGCGTCTGTCACGGAACGAGCGACGCATTCTGGGAAACCCCGAACCATGAGGATAGCTACATTCATCTGGTGACATTCACTTCACACTTCATGAAAAACGTGTCGTCAAATCGCTCACCGTTTTTTAATCTTGAGATATCTTGAGCCACCAGCCACCAGCCCCTGCAGAATTGGGTGCCTCAGCATATCACTCGGACGACCGTACTTGAAGGATCTCTGCAAAAAAAACGATGTATGGGGACGTTGTACCACCTCCACGACCACTCAGGAAAAGACTTATATAGGTGGAACATCAAACATCTGAAAGAACATCAAGCATCTGAAACATCCACAAACCATTCAACCTCATAGAGGCACATGCTGTCTGGGCCTGCAATCATTCACAAGAATGGCCTCCAGGATCTTGCAATCATTTGCATTATCTTTATATGCAAAATATCCAACAAATCCTTCATGCTTGTAGGATCGTGGATAATATATAGGATCTTTAGGGTACCCAGTCCCATGGACGTGTGAACACATTTGCTGAATGAGCCTTTTGGAGGCCACCAACGCACAAAACCGCTTCTGCAATATGGACCCAACTGTTAGAGATAACTTATAACATCCAACAACAAAAACCAGAGGCATCATATCATCCATGGAGCATGTCTGCCTTGGTCACAACTATACTGGGAGGTTCTGCTTTCTTTGCGAGCTCGGACCCTACGCGCCAACGGCACCTCTGTCGGCCCGCTTGGCGTCTGGCCGATCCGCCGGTTTAGCGAAGGATCTTGTAAATGAACTTGAAGGCGAAGCTGCCTGCAGTGCACCATGTTACAGGGCTGTGTTAGACGTGGTCGTGTTACACAACCTTTGATCACTTAGCTTGAGGTCGTGGCTGCTTGATGGGCCAATGGTCCTTTTGGGGGGTCGTCTTGGAGTGGCAGACACGAGTTGAAGGGAACTGATTGAAGATTGAAGTATTGTACATTTGGACTATGCTAATGACTATGCGACCTTATATCTCATACTATGTATTGTGATACTATACGTATGTTGATCCCACATCCAAGCCTAAGATCCGTGACATTCTATGACAACCGGAACACCAACCACCGGAATCACCCACACTTCAATAGTGGGTGAGAACGTATGGTTGTCCTGTCCCCACCGGTTTCTCTGACGAGCAACCATCCAGGATTCGCAGGATGGAGCGGGAGTCCTCGCTGTCCAGGATGGCATTGATCTCGTCCATCTGATTCTCATACTCCGAGGCGATGGCACCTCGCTCTCGACGACTACACCGAGCCGAGACGTTTTTGTAACTTGTGGTCTTCTTGCGCAATTGATGCTAGAGGAGAAAACAAAACACATCGAAGAGAGAGAGAGAGAGAGAGAACAAAAAGAAACAGCAATTATAAATATATAACATAGCTCCGAAAGAACACACCTACATCTCCGGTCATATCCTCTAAGGGCAACACCTCGCAGTAGAGGCGAATCCAGAAACGATTGGCGCTCGGATCCCCTCACCCAGGCGCCTTCATAATCCACACTCTTCCGTCTGTGGTTCCCCTGATTGCCTCGGCCGTCCCGTGAGCGTGAACAGCGTGAGCCGTGTCCAACACCTGTAAAGACACCAAGTCCTGCTGCCTCAGGCGCCCCAGGACACTCTCCAGGACCTCTGTAAGTCCCAGGGGATTGGGGACTTAAGTCGGTTCCCTAGCAGCTGTGCTCTTGCCAAAAGCTCTTCTGCTCGGTTCCCTATATAGGCCTCCCCAAGACAGGAGCTACTAGAATCGTCCTGTAGGACCACCTGGAGGAGGCCATGGTCAAACAAATGCCAAAAAAAACACACAAAAAGAACCGTCTCTCCAGCGCCAGGAAGGGGTCAGTGCGGTCAGTGGTCCAAGCATGTCCAAGCAACCAGATACCTCTTGGTTGGTCTTCGGGATTTGCCCGAGCGATGCAAACACAGAACCTTCAGGCCGAAACGGTGACGAAGAAGTCCAAACTCCAAGCACTGCAGCCCAGCCGTGGGGTGGAACGGAATCTCCGGAACCCCCTATGCCGCCCCAAACCACTTGCTGGAACCACTTGCCAAAAAACAACATCAGATATACAATATCACACACACATCAGAGATGTGATCGGTGCGTGCGGAAAGTGCGTGAACACCTCCTACGATCGATCACGTACTCAAACCGCCCCGCCTGCAAAAAACACGCCCCGCGCTGGTGACGTATCGGTCCCAAGTGGCTCTTAGGGTTCAGTGTGTCACTGCTTGGTCCCTTAAGGACTTCTCCAGGCAGTACAGACACCGGATTCTCCATGGGCGACCGATGGAGAGCTGCAGCTACAGGCTGCAAAAGGGCAGGAGGACAGTCCACTCTGAATGGCACCTGTGAGAACATGGAGCTCTTCACCAAAAACATTGCTGACTCAAGGTGATGTCAAGATTATGATGGCATGCCGGCATGCCAATGCCCTATGCAAACACCGCCCCTTTCCATGTCCTGGAGGCTGGGGGGCGGTGATCCGCATGCGTGTTTGTTGCTGCACCTGCTCTTGAGCGATCCATCAAAGGAGTTCATTGAAGCTAACGCTTAGAGCTGAATCAATCCATGGGACAAAGCTCAATCCATCTGCCTCATCTGCTTTTCTTTACCATATCCACTCTCCAAAGCAAACTGAGCCAGGCAGGGCCGACAACCAGGCAGGATTCTTTTTGGCTCCAAAACGGATTGACATGGGAAAATCACTGAAGATCACCACACAGGTTGAACTCTATAGACTCTAACCTGAAACATATTCATAGGGTGAAGGTATGTCCTGAGGATGGGTTTGGAGATGATTTTGTATGCTGGATCCTTAGGGAGATAGAAACAACTAGTCCACACGAACCGAACCCCAATCGTGACGAATCCGCCGTTCAACGCTCAACACCGATGAATCCCAGAGGTGTTGAGCGTAGAAACGCAACCGCTCAGCTACCTGGGGTACCCTTTTCAGAGGTTAAGTAACCTAGCTAGGGTTCAAAAACACCTCTGCTGGTCATTGGAGTCGATGGCTCGCCAACAACTCCAACCACCCTGGGAGTTTGAGGATGTTTGTGGTCGGGCACCCGCGTCGGGAAAGAGCCCAAGGAGCGAAGGCAACCACTTGGGCAAGAAAATGGGTTCCCAATATAGGCGCCTTTTTGCCAAACAAGTCTTTAAAGTGGAAGCTATTCAGGTGCTTCGTCACCCCCACATCCCAAGTCCCACGAAAGAAAAACACCAAAACGACCGGTAATTGCATCACCTGCCAGTTCAACTGGCCAGGCCGTTCTTCCAACAGCCAGGCAGCCGTGCTCTGCTAACGGGAAAGGAGACTCAAAGGCTTCCAGTACCCGCTCGTCGCCACGCAGCATGGCACCCACCTGAGCGTGAGCATGGCACAAAGCCATCGCGGATGAATCGATTGGAACTGTTGGTGTCCCAGAAAATGGGATGTCAAAAGAAACTATTGGCACCACCCCAGGAATCGAGTGGATCTTGGATGGAAACATACACGCCATGGTCAGACCACCTGACCTGGACCTGGGTGGTGAAAGATTTTTGATTTGCAGTCGCTGTGTCACTCGCGAAATGATTGGTGCATCCCCTCCAACAACGTCTACAACAGGGATCAGAAAACACCCGAGCAACTTGATACAAACCCCCAAACTCTCCCCCTTATCCAGCCAGTGTCCCCCCCAACACATCTCTTACCACCGCACGCGGCCCAGCGGCCATCGTGGCCAAGCCCAAAAGCTTCGCGAAGAGCAGCACCCGCTGCGCCGGCGGCACACGCCGATAGACCTGGAAGCGGCATCAGGTCCTTTTGGGAGCTTTCCCTGGTCTATCGGACGTGGACTTCCTGGTGCGGGCAGCGTCGGAGGTTCCTAGCAACGTTGATAAACCGATCTAGGTAAAAACTAATATATTAAAAAAAAATACATACAACTCTTGCATGGCTCTTCGACTGGCATAAGACCCAGTCTTGGCTCGCTGCCTGGATGATGATAGGAGCTGCCTGCCGATTCAGCGATGAATTGCAGGACCCGGGTCAAAGGACCTGCTGTTGATGCAAGAAACAGCACTGGCAACTCCTGGTGTAGAAGAAGCTGTGAATTGTGGGACCTGGGACCCCCCGAAGTCTCTGACCACATGCGGAGGTTTCGATCTGGACCAAGAAGATGTGAACTCCAAAATGAAGTATCGCTACTAGGAGCAAGAACGCTACTAGTATCTGCATCAGGGGTCGCACCCATCAGGGGTCGGTTGCCAGCAATTGTGCTGAGTTGTGAGTGAGTTGCTGGTTGTGCGACCCAGTGCCACCGAGTCAAGGGCCCTAAACAATGCACATCAAACTCAGTCTTGCCACGATGATCTTGGGAGAGATGGGGTTCGGAACGGAACCCGTTTTTATCAACCTGAGAAGCTGCAAAACGAAAGCCAGCGCTTCCCTTTCTCGAGAACTGCGCGTCGAAGCATAGGATAGAAAGGTAGGTCTGCACCCTAGATCCACCATCCCACTCCATTTTCTTTCATTTCTCTACGGCAGCTCCGCTTGGCATTTGCCAGGTGGAGGCGGCCGTGAGACCTCTTACACACCTACACAAGTTCAAAGCACGAATGAGACTTCAAAGCTGTGAATTGCTGTGCGTGTGTAGAGGCTATCGAGCGGTTGACGGAAAGGGAACTTGAAGTACTATACCTGGTAGCTGCAAGCAAG